AATATACTTCTAATTGCTATTTCAATCTTTCTATCTTTCTAATTACTTCTCTCTCTGTTTTTCTCAGGAAAAAAAATAGTAGAAAAAAAGGAATTATATCATGTTTCTATGAATATCCCTCAGGTTTCACATGTAAACAGTGTGTTTAATTTCTACATTTATGTTTCTTCACYTTTAAATTGCTGGGAACGTAGTTTCCAAGCCCTGAAGTTCTGTTGTACTTATAAACACATTTTTGGTTCAGTGGTAAAGAAAGTATTTAGGTCCACTTAACTCAAGGAGCACTACAGCAATTTTTAGAAGTACTCTGGGGTATTTTTTGTCAGTCTTGACAAAAAATACCCCACCTAATAAAAACTGGTTATAAGCAAAACAGACGTAGAATACAATTTGTGACAATATTTGACATAACAAAGCTTCTTTCTATAAAATATTTTTTCTCTTAACTGAAGGCGGAGAAAGTTTAGAATACTCAATATACAACTGGCAATTAAATTAATCCTGTGAGTGTTTGATTTGTCCAATGTATAATATGCTCATTTTGTGCTCCTGGAAATCACAGCAACCTGCCACATGGTGCAGTTTCTTATATTGTACAAAATACAAGAAAATATATTTTTTTAAAGTTTGGGAACCACTGTTTTAGAGGATGTAAAATTTCCATCTTCTAAAACAGTGGTTCCCAAACCTTTCAGCCTTTGACCCTCAAAATACCAGCAGCAGAGACCTGAGCCCCCAACTGTTAAACATTGTTTTCACATAAAAAATATATATATATTCGTTATGATATTTTTGTCCATTTTAAGTACACTAGCCTTACTCTTTTGTAACAACAAAGGCAAAACAAATGTTGTTAGTTGTTATTTTCTAATATAAGTAATTCAGAAAATCTTTACAGGACCCCAACTTAATGTTTTGGGACCCCATTGTGGGCCCTGACCCCAACTTTGGGAACCACTGCTCTAAAATGTTTAACTAAACTTGGCACTGTGGAGTAAAAAGTACACACATTTCTAGTGAAATAGATGGCATTAAATGGTCTCATGTCAGATTTTAGGATAATTTAGCACCAGTGTCAGTGAGACACAGTTTGTCCACTAGAGAGCACTGACAAGTTTCCTATTGAAATTCCCATCACATCTCTCAGCACTTAGATAGAAATCTTTAATGACGTTAGTTTATGTTAAAGATGAAGATCAGCTGATGTTAGGACGGTGGTTTAAACTTTTTTTTGTGACGGGGGCTGGATCAGTYAACCTTTTCGCACACAAGTGCAGATTCAACAGATTTACGTCCCACTCGGAGCACCTCTCCTGCCATTGTCCGCCCCTCCTTTTTGTCCGATCTCTTCCCATCTCACAGACAGCTGTTGTGTTGAGGTTACAGTACACCTTGTGGAGGGCCCTTCCCTTTCATCTCGCCCAGCGGTTTTATGGCGCTGTGTGAATGTGCAAGGCTTTTTAATTAGACTCTGCAACCCAGACAAGCCCCAAGGCTGAGGCAGCGCCACTCTGTCTGAAGCGCACTCGTTCCCTCTCTTTGCTCCTTTTCACTCCGTTTCTCTCTTCTGTCTATCTCTGGTGTGTCATCTTCTGTAATCCCTCGCTCTCTCTGTTTTTATGTAGCATGCCACTCAAACACTCCTCCACTGATCATTATTCCCCCCCCCCCCCCCCCCCCGTTTGTCTTTCAGCACAACAAACCCCTGTATTCTTTTGAGGACAAYGCTGATTACGTGTACGATGTCATGTGGTCGCCTGTGCATCCTGCCACCTTCGCCGCCGTGGACGGCATGGGCCGCTTAGACCTGTGGAACCTCAACAACGACACGGAGGTGTGTGTGTGAAGTCAGGTCAAGTCAGGCATGTTGACGCGGCGTGCGTGTTTTGGTAGCCTCAGCCCCGAAACCACGCACGCACGGTTCCAGATTCCCCTGTAGGCGTTTTCCCGCAGCGTTGCTGTAAATCAGAGCGGGTGACATCTTCTCCTCATGGCTCCCACCCACTAACATTTCTACAACCTCTCCGTCTAACGTTCAGATAACCTCAGGATCCATCTTCCTCCCACTCTGTGTCCCTTCAGAGGAGTGCACAGATGTGCCGGAGACCGCATGCAGGGAGCCCCAGCCCTCAGTCCACAGTCTCATGAAAATAATATAAAAAAAGGGACGGTCGACGTTTGCAGTGCTGTGGGGCGACAAATATTTTAAAATGAGTGCAATTAAGGCCGCCAGAAATAAAAATGTCAGTTAAATTGTTAAATAAAAAAAATAAAGATCATACATTTTTATTTTTCCAAAGAATCTCAGCTTAAATCATCAAATCAACACCTTTAAAACTCTAAATGAAAAATGACCATAACTACTATAACATTACTTTATTACTACTGGTTGTTAAGGTAAGTGTGTTACTTCTACTTAATTTGTTACTACAAATTGAGATGTTTTATTCGAATTATCCATTTAACTTTTTGAAATTTTAATATAGAAGGAATTCATCTGTTTTCCGAGTCACCAGTTGTTGTATAAAAGTTGAGAAGAATTAATATCTTACCTGTTGCAGATAGCAGAAAAAAAAACTTTATTCTGACCGGATCAACAAACAGTAGACCCAAATGGGATCAGGACCAAAATTTTAAGTAAATTTAAGTGAGTGACTTTAGTTAGTTAGTTAGTTAGTTAGTTAGTTAGTTAGTTAGTTAGTTAGT